GTTAGTCCACTATGATACATGATTAACTGTCAACTGCTTAGTAAACTTAGAGTCAACTTGCATTGTAAACTTAGTTCATTATATATAGTTCACTGTATTTTGATGTCTAATAAGTTGTGTCCACAACTTAATTTACTACATACAGTTTACATTATAGTTTACTGTATTCACTGAAATTTGACAGTGTACAATAAACACGGTTTTATTGAAACTTAGTTTAATCCATATTGTTTATTACATTATGCTGTGTATTAGGATATGCTCACTAATTAGTGTATACAATCTTGTTCACTACATTCTGTTTTGTGTTATTGTTGTTCATTTGAATTTACAGTTTCTAAAAAAATGGCACTGAGTGTACTACCAAACCTGTTCTGTGAAAATTGCTTGGAAAGCAAACTGGCAAACAAAATCATAGTAAACAAAATCATAGTAAACTACATTACAGTTCACTACATTACAGTTCACTACATTACAGTTCACTGCATTAGAGTTCACTGCATTAAAGTTCACTGCATTATAGTTCACTACATTACGGTTCACTACATTACAGTTCACTACATTACAGTTCACTACATTACAGTTCACTGCATTAGAGTTTACTACATTATAGTTTACTGCGTTACAGTTTACTCCAATATCTGAAATTTGACAGTGTGCTACAACATGGATTTATTTGTATTGTATACTTCATTTAAGTGTATCTAGTTGACTACATTGTTGTTTGTATACTGATGTGTGCATGTTTTCTAATGCAGTGCAAACAAAGCAGGTGATTAAAGAACAAAGAGAAGAATTGGGGTATATAAAGCAGTACAGATCGACCCTCACCTCAACCATCACTTTCTTCAATGGCATATCTCTAAGGCCAGCCCATATCCGATGCCTCAAAAAAACGCCATTCTACTACTTTGTAATGCAATTTGCAGATAAGAAGGTCGATGCCAAGTTTGTCAAGTGCACACAGATTGGGACTGCACAGTTACTTTTGGCGTTTGACAAGGAAAAAGACAAATTCATTATTGGGGGGGAAGAGATAACCATTAGCCCAGAGGAATGCCAGTTGATATTTGGCATAAACCCTGGTCACATTGAAATCAACACCAACAAATCTAGCAAACCTCGTGAAGGCCTGGCACAGCGTAAATTCCGCGACCACGTGAAACTGAAACGGAAATATCTCAAACCAGAGTTGATGAAGTGCATTGGTAATGAGGACCAAGAGAGTGTTGAAGATGTTGTAAGACTAATAATTTTGTATTTGGTCACCAACTTCTTCTTCGTAACTAGTGGATCTCTCGTGGGGTGGTGGACATTTAAGTATTGCGAAGATATAGATATGATGAGTCAATACAACTGGGGGAAAGCTATAACAGAGTTCTTCATGAGCAGCGTACGCAAAGACAAAGCAATCGATGTAAAGGGTTGCAGAGCATTACTATTGGTAAGTTTTTCCTCTTTTGTTTCATACACGCATTATACCTACGTCACCTACTGAGTAATATTTAGTTAACTATGTCTGCGTAGTACAATATAATCTATCTACATTGAACTGTGTGCTAACAAATGCTCTAAAATTATACCCAGTTTTGGTTTTGCGAAAGAACGAACATTGTAAGCCCCGCGAGAGAATGCGCATTCCCAAGATTTCAGCGATGGAATCTACATGCATTGTCGGAGTCGCTACGAAATATTGCAATAATGGACATTCCCAGAAAAGATGTTCATATCACACCATTGGAACCTTCATCCAAAGAAAAAGCCGTACTCAATTGGTATGAATCCACAGAGACCCAATGCACATCCAACAGTGATGATGTTGTAGAAGACAGTGTTTCAGAAGACAGCGACCATGACACTACAAACAGTGACACAGATGGGGGTTCTCCAGATATTGGTGATGCCCATGGAAATGCAGATGATTCTCCGCCGCACGACCCAGTTGACCATAATCCCGAGATCCATGACTTAAATGCACGGGGATGTGGTTCAGAGCCCAATATGCAGACCAGACTAGCAATTTTGGAAGCAACCGTACGTCAATACGAAACTGAAATAAAAGATCTAAAAGACGCTCTACAGTCGTCCAAATCTGAAGCAGATGAGTTACGAACCAAGGTTTCAAATATCCAAGCGGCGTCTAACAATCCAGATTTGCATGTTGACCGATTATCATCATTGAAAGCCAAGAGTCAACATGAATTGGATCGTAGACTTACATTCCAACTGAATGAAGCGTATCTTAATCTGCAAAATGAACGCCAACGCAATTTGGACCTCCAAACTGAGCTCGTGAAGGTTAAAGCTGATAATGAACGATTGTTGATGAATAATGCTACTACACAAGAGCTGCAAGCTGAATTAACCGTGCTAAAGACTTGCAATGAATCCCTTCAATCAGCCAACACCAACCTTGAAGAAGAAATATCAAAACTCCGAAAACAGACTACTTCCGGGCCTGCAATCAACAACATCCCGCCAAGCAGAGACGATACACCGTCCTTCGAGCTGTTAACCCCAACTCAGCAAAACTCCGATGATATAACGCTCACCAACATGCCCGTAGCAGATCTCACAATAATGGAGCTACAAGCAACTGTCCAGGTGATGCAAAAACAGGAATTGGTGGCAAAAAGGAAAATTACGGAACAGGAGCACACAATTAAAGAGCTCACCACAGCCCTCGACAACTGTACCAAGACAATTCCAGTGCTCGATGAGTCCGATGATGATTTCGAAGAAGCTGGTCCGAGTTCAAAAAAGCCAATGAGGGGGCCTAACTCCGTAGTTGCCAACAGAACGAGATCAAAAAAGCAACATGTAACCCCTTCCACACTCAAAACAATCCCAAAACCAAGGAACAGCTACAAGAAATACACCACTTACAAGAACCTTTCGGATGAGGATAAGGAAACTATCAATTCACTCGCATCTCAAAGGGGACAAGTCGAGTAAGTAAACGTTTAAATTTCTCAAAAGTTCAATTTATTTGATGATTGTCGGTGCACGATTCATATAGCGTTCTATTCACACTTTTAGTAATCTATGTTATGTTTTTTAGTTACATATCAATTTCTTACAACTGTCACCACACGCAGCACAATTATTTGGAGGCCACCAGATAGCAACCAATCCGTACTTTCAAACGACCTCTTTGCGCTCATCGAGAACAAATCAATATGGAGCTCTGTAAGCATAACTTCATAGTAAATCACATTAACATTTTTCAACTGATTATAATGTGCGTAACTGGTATATATATCTCTATATATATATTTGTGAGCCCAGTTCATCGATTGTTACTGCATGAAGCTTAGCATGGACCAGTCAAATGGGTTGTTCGACATTGCCCAATCTGAAGATATGAAAGGAACGAGCATCGTACTCCCTTCCATGTTATTGGTAATTCAAAAATCTTTTCCTCGTTGTTGTAAAAAAAATTGATAATTTTATAATAATATTTCCCCAAATCAAATTGCAGTACTGTCTGAGGAGTTCCGGTGATAAGACATTTGTGCCACCTGTGCACCTGTGCGCACATCGCTACCTAATTTTTCCACTACATTCCAAGGGCAATAAAATTAAAAAAATAGACCACTGGACACTTCTTGTGTTTGACAAACTACTGTGTGATTGGAGATTTTACAACTCCCTGCAACCACGAAAGGGTCACAAGGATGCATACCTCCAGGACGCGGAAGATATGGTAATAAACATCTGAATAATTCAATTGATGTACTGAAATCATACTACAAATTATACAAATCTTATATGAATCCTAACTTCTTTTTTCAGAAGGAATTCGTTGAAAAAACTGCTGCAAAATATGATCTTGATATACCAAATGACGAAGATATTCAAACGATGGAAGACGCTCCCCAGCAAGCGTGTGGAACCAATGATTGTGGTATAGTGGTGTTGTACATCATCAAGAAATATTTCACGCAACAGCCAATACCATCACAAACTGCAACAATGGAAATAGGTAACATGCGTCGTGAATTGGTGGAACTGTTCTTGCAACTGGGAAATGGGAAGGATTACAGAAATAAACGCTTCAAAACTAATAAGATGTAGCTAGTGACACCCTAGTTTTGTAATATCTCCAAACATATCTCTTTTGTTCGGATTATTAGTTTTTTGCACAACCAGTTATACTTCTTTTTATTTTTACTGTTTTATGTTCTGGATTATGCACATTGGTTACTATATTGCATCCAACTTGTTTTATCTTTCGTATCTATGTCTTCTTTTGTTACTAGTAAAACTGTTTTACCAGCATCGGGGGCTTAAAAAGTGAGTCAACTATGTTAACAATCTATACTATTGTTCATATAAAACTATAGTAAACTTTAGTTCACTATTTATAGTGAACTAGCTAAATTGTACAGTACAGTTCATAAAAAACACAATGCAGTGTATATAGTGCAGTGTACCATATATAGTGAGTCAACTATGCATTTTTATACAATATAGTAAACCATTTACAGTGAACTATAATCACTGAGTCAAGTAAACTGACTATTTACATTATAGTAAACTATTTACATTATACATTACAGTAAACCATTTACAGTGAACTGTAAACCATGAGTCAACTATGCCACAATTATACAATATAGTAAACAAATTACATTAAAGTAAGAATAATTTTATAGTAACCCAATACTGTACAAATCATCGTACAACTTACAGTGAACTAAGAAGTTACAGTAAACTGCCTCTGTTGTTATAAACTTATTACGTTTCAGTAAACTGCATATTCGTAGTAAAATTAATATATAATGCAAAACCCCATTTAAAAAACAGTCAACGTTCGTATAAAACATAGCAATTGATATAAAAACATAGTTCAACAGAACATGTGCATTGATATAAAAACATAGTTCAACAGAACATGTGCGGAAAAATGTCCACAAACAAAACAGAATAGTTCAACAAATGCAAATAAACAAAGGAAAAATAACCATTTGCATACAATCATCTTCCTACATAAAAATTCATCCTATCCGCTTTGTGCACGTCTTCTTATTATGGTGTCCATATTCATTGCAACGACCACACTTCATCTTCCGAGCAATATGCTCTCCCCTAGAAGGAATTCTTTTCACTCTTGGCCTACCACGTCTTGTATGATAATCTGGGGGACCCACCAATTTTTGTTGATTGTCAACTACCACTTTACCAAAAGGCTGTATTAACATAGCATATGTACTCTTGAACATCGACACGTGGAAGTACTCATCAATGTGCTCATAACCATCATTTCTGTACAAAAACAACACAGCTGCAGCATGTACGCAAGGATATCCATTGATTTGCCACCATCTGCACGAGCATGTTCTTGCCTGCACATCTACAACAGCATTCGGCACCGAGTACACCTCATACACAAATTCAGACGCCTTTTTAACCGTCAATGGTCTACCCTCATTCACAAAACTATCAACAATTGTTTCAAGATTCGGGCATATAGCAGTTGTCCACGTGTCACCCTCCTCGTGCCTTATACACATCTGCACCATTAACAAACTCCGAATTGCATCAATGAAATTGGTGATGGGAAGATGTCTATACCTTCGAATTTGGGCATTCCATGACTCAACAGCATTTGACGTGCTCTGACCATATCTACCAGCCTCAAAATACGAATGCGCCCAATTCTCATAAGGAAGGTCAGCTAAGAAATTGAAAATTCTTTCCGCTCCATTGGATCTTAAGTCACCCATTGCAACCTCAAATTCTTCCTTCGATGCAGCATAAACACAAGAATCGAACTGAAGTACAATTGCTTTCCGAAGGTTGGCACCAACACCCCTAAAATGGTTCTTCAAATTCCTCTTCAAGTGAATTACACAAAATGCATGACGAGAGCCTGGAAAAATGTTCTTCACCCCCTCAACAATGCCATGGCACCTGTCAGATATAAATGTTAGTACACGCTCCGTACCTACTGAGTCTCTCAAATGTTCCAAGAACCATGCCCAATTAGCATTTGTTTCTTCATTCACAATAGCAAATGCAAACGGGAATAAACCTGCATATTAAACATTACGTCAATAATCTAGTTGCTAATAATTTAAACATGCATTATGATTGACTAATACAATTCAAAAAAAAATATGTAACTACGTCAAAACATTACCATCATTGCCATCTTTCGCAACGGCGCTGAGCAATATACCCTTGTGTTTTCCCTTCAAAAAAGTACCATCAACACATACAACGGGACGACATGATTTGAAACCACTCAAACATCCAGCGAAAGTGAAAAAACACCGCACAAAATTGTTGGAAAATTCATCAACATCTAAATGGAAAATACTACCCGGATTAGTCTTTCGCATTTCTTGAAAATATGATGGAAGGAATGAGTACGATGTGGTTTGATCACCATACACAACCTCCCTGCCCGCATCTACAGCCCTCCATGCAACAAAGTAACTAATATCAATACCATATTTATCTTTAGCTTGGTGAATTACATCTTTAGGGGTCGTTGTAGGCATAGCTCGAATATCATCCACAATAAGCTCTGCAATAATATCGGACGTGATCCTTCTTCTACTGCAAGTTCCAAATGTCATGCCACATGTGTGATACTTATGATATTTCCTAATATAACAAAATTTGTTGCACTTCTCAATCGATGCATGTATTCTCCACATGCATTTCTTCGAGTCTCTGTACTTGCACTGTGCCGTGACTCGATATGACTCATTTTTCACGTAGTCAAACTCAAAACCAGATTCAACAGAAAATTTGCACAATGCTTTCCTAAACTCAACAACGCCCCCTTTAAAAACCTGTCCCACATCCCTAATCAAAAAAAGCCAATTGTGGCTCAATAGTTGCTTACCATTCGATGGCACACCCATGATTCGTTCTTCACATAAACCATCATTCTCAACCAATAATGCAGATGGTGCATACGCAGATAAACTCCCAACTAGGGCATTTTGAACCTGAAAATCGTTATCAACGTACGCCAACGACCTTCCCCTATTTCCCAATTCAGCACGCTTCTCCTTTTCCTTCACGTTAACAACAATATTCTGCAAAGTTAACTGTTGTACCATGGCAAACATTGACAATACATCTTCATCATCTCCGAGAATGCAATCACCAAACATAGGCAAATTGTACGTCAAATACAGATTATCGGCACTCAAACCGCTCCATTTCGAACAAATAAAGCCAGACAATGCTTCATACCGCATACCAACTGTGAAACGCTTCAATGCTTTCACACCCGCATAGTTTAGCATCAGCATCACACTAATCGCCATTTGATTACTGCATGAGGAGACAAAATAAAAAAAATGTGAAAAGTGGAAACTCATCATAAGCAAATATCACACCATAGAAAATATAAAAACATAGCACACTACATTAACAACTGTGACACAGAAGCTATAAACATACCAAATTTCATTCTATATGAACAATTTAATTGTTCTTTTTGTATGAATTCATAATAATGTAACTACGTTCGTCGCGCATAATATATTTTATTAAAATTAAATTGATCAGTGTTATTTATCACACCAGAGAAAACATACAGACATAGCACACTACATTAACGACTGTGACACAGAGCTATAAACATAGCAAACTGCCAAAAAACAACCACCTATTTTAAAATCACTTCTAATCCTAACAGCAATAAATCACCCCCGTCTGGATGACCACCGTAAGTCCCATTCTAATTATGAACTGACTAATTAAACTATGCAATCAACCCAATCAAATACAGTAACTTGAAATTTCAATTCCAAAACGAAACTGTATATACAAACCCCCATCTCATCTGATAAGCCGATTTAGTACTAATATCATACCTTCTTTTAAACAATCTCTCGTCGTTAAATTTTATTCCACACTCTGTAATCTTCACATGTATCGCCTGTGTCGAAGAATTTATGACGAAGATTTTTGACTGTGAAGATTAGTTATAATGATATAAACAGAACGGTTTATGATTATGCAGTTGGCACTAATCACGTAGGGCGAGATATACGGAGGTACAATCACAGATTTCACGCCAATTCTGATTGATACGTTGTTTGGGTATTATATTTACAATAAGGGCAGAATAGGGAGAAAACATCCGTAAGGGGGGTCAAGCAATTGATGAAAAAATATATGGACTTCTATACAATAGCCCAAATACAAATTGGACCTGGGCTAGGTAATTTTCCCTAATGGGGGGGTTTTCCCTCATTTTCCCTATAAAATATGGTATAATTAAATTAAATATAAAGTTCAAAAAATACATATAATATGTAGAAAACACAAATATGATTTACTGATTGTTGAAAAACCCTTGGGGCATTTTCGTCATTTCCATTAATGTCTAAAATCCTATGGATGTTGTGTGCTACGAAAATGTTTACAAATGGAACAATTAGTAATTATTTTTACCTATGGTATTTGACAATTAGAGATTTCACAGGGCGGTATTTGGAATTAAATTTATATAAACGTCATACATCCAACTAGGGGTAGTAAACGAGCCGAGCCTGCTCGTGAACTCGACGAGTCGAATCGACTCGACAAAATCTCGAACTAGAGTTCGACCTCGATTATAGTGTTCGACAGCTTGCAAGTTGACTCACGAGCTTCTTATTTGTTTGTTTATTTATTTATTTTATTAAATTTAATATATTATACAATAAAATTATTATTGTTATTATTATAAAAAAATTATTTAATTTATTTATTTTATTGTATAGCTTGTGCCGAGCTCGATCTCGAAATCTTCGAAGCTCATGCGTGTTCGAGCTCGAGCCAGAAAATATCAATTCGCATGAGCTTATCGCACCTCATGCGAGTTCGAGCTCGAGCCTTCCAAAACAGGCGAGTTCGACTCGTTCACACCTCTACTGCCAACTGAGCTAAATACGATTCTTGAAAACATTTATACCCGGCTATATATACCTTGCTCGCCTTGGGCCGGCCCAATTTAAGATAAATGAATGAGTTTAGTCTTACGTTAAAAGAAATTCATTTTACAACTCAATAATTGCGTAAAATCCAGAACCTCGGAGAAATAACTGTGATGCAGTTTGTTCTATCACATGTGCCAATAATGCGAGGTATTTAAATTCATGGTTAGTTGTGACTGAAAACCCAATTTGTTTTTTTTTTTTTTTTTTACATAACTTCATTAATGCTTACTGTTTTCTTTATTTTTCTGGAAACACATTTTATTCTCAATTATAGTAATAAAGTTTAAATATGATGTAGTTTCTATATATAGCATTCAATATAGAAGACATTTATCTCTTCTTACAAAGAAAACTTTCTCCCTTTGTCAATCTTTCTTTCTTAATATGGGGGCCCACATGCATTTACAGCCGTTCTATTTGCAGGGAATGCCTACCTGCCTCTATTGATTAATTTTTATTCTTTTATTGTTTCTTGTGATCGATTTTTCTTTTTCAATTATGTAATATTGTTTCATAAATTTGTTACATTCATTGAAAATAAAGCCCACAAGAACTTCTTTTATCAGAAAAATAATCTTACAAGAATTAATGTATCATATGGACAAAAATATTAATTATTCCTTTTCTTTTGTGGGACCTATGTTTAAAAATTTGAAAACTCTTCTCGTCATTACTTAAGGTTGGTTAACTCCCTTTTAATTACCGGTACTAATAGCAATTAATTTAGGGTTACAGTAACATATTTTAGTTATTAAACTTTTAGTAGCAGAAATAAAATAGAGTTGAGTAAAATGGTAAAACAATATTAGTTTATTTTTTTGAGTAAAATTTAATTTAACTAAGTGTATACCCTTTTGTTTGATATCATATTATGTAGAATTATTTATTTCAATCAATTTCATCATTTAGTTTTTATGTTACTTGTAATTATTGTACCCTATATTGACATGGAATATTATATTGTTTATTATATTTAATATAATAGTTCATTAAAAATAAACATTATTTTACACTAATATTATTTATTATTTTACTAAAACATTCATAAGAAGAACATATAAGAGTAAGTAAAAAAAATAGGGTAGAAAAAGAAAAAAAGAAAAAAAAGGATTCTTTTAGGTTAAACAGCCGAAATGGAGTAAAATAACTTAAGGAAATTAAATCCTTAAAAAACGGACTCAACAAAAGAAAAAGAGAATAATTAATTGTTATATTACACATGGCATGCATTGGATGTCGTCCTTTGTTGGGGAAAAAACGGATGGTCCGGCTACAAGAGAAGGGAAAAGTGAGGCGTGATGGCCAAAATTAGGTGGGCCACATGCGCTTGTTAGACCAAAATTTGATCGAAATAGAAAAGAAATAATAAATGAAAAATAAGGTATTAAACAACAGGGAAATAAAAATGAAATTCAGTTTGCATATGGGAAGGGAGAGATAAAAGAGGAAACCTACTAACTTTAACTAGTCGACTGGATTTATTCCAATCAAACTCTACTTAATGGAAACTCGACTTCGATTCAAGAAATTTTCCAAGTTCAAATATATATATATATATATATATATATATATATATATATATATATATATATTAGGGCTAACCCCCTTGTTGAGATTTTGTAATGAGGTAGATCCATTTGATTTTTTCGTTTTTGAGATACACCCAATTATGCCAACTTGACACAATATATTATTTAATTTCCCTATAATACCCCTATTTTATTTTTGGACGTCGGTTTTTTCCTTATCGACGTGATATGGTATTGCTGATACGTTGCCTATAATCACGGATTAAACTTACGTGAGTATATTGGTGGTTTCATCGTTTTCATCATTATCAAAGCGTATACAATCGGGATAGGAAGAATTTTTCACCGCCGTGGTAGTATTTCTCGGATCGGAGCGTTTTATCTGGTTAGTATGTACAGTTTTTTTTCATTTATTTTTTGTGTGTCATGTGTAAGTGTTGTTGTGTTATGGTGGTTAGCCATTATAAGGTTTGTCTTGATGTGTTGATTCAATTGGTATTAATGTAGATCGTTTTAAAAAAAAATTATGTCGTGATATATACATCGTTATTGACTGATGATGTTTGTCTTGGAGGAGGATTCACGTAGTCGCAAGAGGAGGGTTCACTTATTCTGACCAGAGTTGTTTTATATGAGTGTCGTAGTTGGTTTACGCAGTAATCGAAATAAATTTTTGGTGTGGTCGAGTGATGAAGTTGAAACTGATTGATAGTTGTTTTGTTTGTTTACAGCAGTCGCTTTTAATGTATTATGTAGTACATTGAAATGTATTTGGTAGTCTATTTAATCGATTATCGTAGTTCGAGGCACATGATGATTTATTATGAACGAATAGGCTTCAACATGTGTTGGTTTTGTTTGTATGTTGAGAATAACGGGTCGCCCCAAGTTCGTAAAATAATGAAGTTGTTGTTTCAGATGATGCTGGAACAGGGGGTGGGGGTGAACTAGTTTGAGCTGCTGATGCCACTGCAAGTGAGGCATTGAATGCATGCGTTGTGTAGTTGTCCGACGAAGAAGTCGATTGCATTCCTGATGATAGCGACGAGGACATAAACTCAATGAATTCAATTGATTCTGATGGTTGTTATTTTCCAAACCCCCTAAGATTTGATATGTTTAATTAATGTCGTGTTTACGATGTAATGGCTCGGTAACTTCAGTTAAGTGTTAAACCGTTGTAATACATTAGTATACTATTATGAATACCGTATGATACTACCATTATCATTTTATTATACTATTATGAAATTATTAATGTACACTACAAGAAAATCTACCTTTAGCGACCAAATTCCCAGCGACAATAAGAGAATGGTCGCTTAATATATACTTTTAACAACCAATCATATTTTGGTTGCAAAATTTAAGTTATTACGACCAATCGATATTTGGCGGTTATAAATGGTCACTGTATCATAGCAAGCCCCGGGCAATAGTATAGAGACCAAAGTTAAAGTCTTTAGCGACAATTTTATATGGTCAATATTGATAATTATTATCAGTGACCAATTTAATATTAAAATATTATATTTTTTTAGGATATCTTTAACCACGACTAATTTGGTTGCTGTCGTATACTCATAGCAACCAGTTTTTACATGGTTGCTAAAAAATTACTTATAGAAACCAGTTTTTACATAGTCACTAAAAACTTACTTATAGCAACCACTTTGTACATGGTTGCAAAAAAAATATATATAAATAGCAACCACATTTTACATGTTTTCTAAGAGAATTTTATTGCGACCATTTTTTTTACATGGTTGCTAACAAATTACTTACATCAAAATAATATAATTAATATTAAAGGCAAAAAATAGCATACAAACGACTTAACCTTTTCAACACTGAAATGACCCAAAAATGGCCTATTTGTTTTAAGTATTAATTTTAAAAAATCCAAGTTTTTCTTAATGAATTAAATTATAGTGGATTAGTTTTTATGCTTTAACTTTATTATACATGCAAAGTTTTATTTCTAATAATGCATGCAATTATTATCATCTTGTAAATTTATTTTAAAAATAAGGGCAAATTACAGCCACCCACTGAGGTATGGCCAAATTACGAAAAGACCCCTCTTGTTTGGGTAATTACAGCCACCCCCCTCCTTTTAAATATTTTTACATAAAATTTATGTAATTCGGTTATTTACCGAACCAAATCGTATATTTAGTTCGGTAAACGGTATGAAATGTTGGCGTACTGAAATTTCGATTCGATTTTACTGAATAAACATCCCTAAATTTACCTTTGGAGGGGTCTTTTCGTAAAATAATACATAGTTGAGGGGGTTGACTGTAATTACCCAAACATGAGGGGGGGTTTTTGTAATTTGACAATAACTCAGGGGGTTGGCCGTAATTTGCCCTAAAAATAAATATAGCCTTTCACACAGAATAAACATATTTAGTTATAAACAATATTTCCTTATTTATTGAATATTAGATCATCTTATAAAAAGTGTCTGGTGTATTTTTTTAGACTTTGAAATATTCGAGCTTTACTAAATAACTTTTGAAATTTTTTAGAATTTAGTTAATTAACAGTTCAACTATAGCTTGCAAATATTAAAATTCATCCATATTATTGTTATTTTTTTTTCCAATTTTTTTTATGTTACATTGAACTAATAACTCTATAGTTTCTCCATTAGTTTGTTATATTTTACATTGAATGATTATTTTTGTTACTTTTTTTCAATTATTTTATAATATATATATATATACACCTCGAAAAAGACTTGGGGTGTGCTGCCCCGAACTCCCATTTAATGTACGAGCACCGTTTACAATTTGGCCAGAGCCTTCAACTACCTAGATGGCCCTGGATATTAGCAATAATAAACTTTAGACATAGACAGAAAAGCTCGCCTTTTCATTTTATAATATCTTTATTTAATTTTTTAACTCACTCTAGGTCTAAAATAGTTAAATGCACAAAACTTACTGGTATATAAAAAAAAATGTAAAAGGAAAAATATTGTTCCGTCAACCTTATTCGGTTTTGTGTCATATGTTTCTTGCTTACAAGCTCAGGTAAAATTCATAGATCGGGAAAAAAGCCTTTCACCGGAAGGAACAGTGAACATCTCTTTAATATACGTCCAATTCCAATGTTGCTTCCTTTTCTTTTCCTTGTTTCCAATTGCTTCACTTTCGGGTTTCGTACCATTGATATCATTCGGGACAACATCTTTTCGAACATTCCTTTTACTTATTTTCTTACTCTTTTGCTCTTCAACAACGTCCGCTACATTCTTATTATTAGTCAATTGTCCTATAATTGAAACAAACAGAAAATTATTACACATGAAAATAGGGAAACATCTGGTAGTATTAATAGGTATTGAACTTGTGTTATTTGCTGGTGGAATAATTAATCCACCTAATCCTTTGTTTTTGTCCTTGTCATAGTATTCAATCTTGTCTTTTACAGTGCCCAAAATATCCATCTAAATTCCCCAGATGTGCTTCAAGCTATATCAATCTTGACATTTCTCACACTTGCACCGTAGCACAACTTTATTTATATATTCAGACCATTTACCCACGAACAACATGCTTCAGATATTGATATATATGTACAGGTAATTTATCATGCTTATTCGTGATGTTTAAATTGAATAAAAATACCATACTTATAGTTTTAATAAGGAAATCAAACTACACATTAAGTGTTCCTGATGAAAAAACCATTAAAAAAAGAAAGGAAAGAAACACCATAATTCATATCTAAAGCAATGAAAATAACCCCTATAAATTGAAAAACAAATATAAAAACTAAAAGAACTCAAGGAATAAACATCGTCTATAATCAAATACTCGCATCATTTCTATATTTTAACAGTGCACATATCATCAATTGTCCACCTCAATCCACTTATCACTTATGATCTGCATAAAAAATAAGAGTGAAAATAAGTGTCAGTTAAATTATAAAATAATAATTTTATAATAAATTATAGTTAAATACCATCTTACCATTTAGGGAGATTGATTATCTCAGATAAGCTTTTTCCAGTCAAGTTTTCAACACATTTCACAAGAGCTTCTACTGTAGTCTTTTGACTAGATAACTCAACTTTAGTATTTGATAACTCAGCTTGTGTGCTCACTAACTCTTCCTCTAATCGTGCTCGACTACTAGATGATTCAAAACTTGAACAAACATCACTACGAGATGATTTTCTATTAAGGCCTTTGCATTTGGCATAAGATGAATTTTCTCCGAGAACGGTGATACAAATTTGTTCTGTGCTCATGCGATCGACACCATCTGGCAAAGCTCTTTGTTCTTCTCTTAATGCTTTCATTTTCGCCTAATCAAAATAAGGAACGTTATCTTTCCATTTATAGAAGTTACTAACTTTTGGAGTGTGGATATAATATGAAACACAAATTAAGAAATAAAATAATAAATAAACTAAACTTACACTATTAGCCTCAACAACTTCGCTGGCCCATCCATTTTTTCCATTGCGATATTCAGCTTCATACATATCAATGTCGTCCAAACTCTGTTATGAAGCAAATTGTCAATTTTATAACTATGATAAATATTTTCGACTTATTATGTAACATGACTAACATTCTCAAATTGATGTGCCGCACGAGATTTGGTGCCCAATTTATGATGATTCTTTAGTTTATCTCTATTGTTAGACTGAGTCTCTGAAATTTTCTGCAAATGTTTATAATAAAAAAAAAAAATAATTAGATGATCTTTTGCCATATGCACTAAAATGACATAAATTAAAAATATATACCGTAAACTTTGCAGTCTCCCAAAAGTCACACAACCAAAGCCAATCATCAGGACGAGTGATAAGTTTGTCATAAACACGTTGCCTAGCTAGTGACACACCACCTTCTTTTTTATTTTTTGAATAGTAGCTATGAGCATTTGAACGAAAACATGAGTATTGTTTAGCAAAAGACTTCCAAATGCAATGGACGACATGAGGCTCCTCCAATTCGTAAGTGAGCTTTTCCTTCGATGTGTAAAAAAAAAAATAAGAAAAACAATTCCAATGAGATATTACTGCAATATAACATATAGACTACGCAAAAAAATCAATAAAAAAATCTACCAACATAACTTACAACCAACTTTCTGAAAAGGTCTTCTTTTTTCTCATTTGGAATCTTCTTCCAACCCTCAACTTGCATTGGAGCTTCAAGCCTGATCAAGACCCCAATCTCAGTTGCGTGTTTTGAACTGTGCTCTCCAACAGGTCTCTTCACTCCCTTTGGAATAACTATTTTAGGCTTTTGCCCGCACTTTCGTGTATACTTCCGTGTATTTAATCCTCTAGTAAGACCACGACCTTTTTTTTCATTCGCTAATCCTTAATGAACAATAACAAACATAAGACCGCACTTTCGTGTATACTTTACCAACAGTTTATGCTACTGGATCTAAAATAATATAATAAGCATAATAAAAGTAAAAACAGAAAAAGAAAAAAAAACATAACATATTTATTTAACAGTACCTTCAATAACAACTCTAGTCTCCTCACTTGAAGAATTGCCCATATGCTGCACTTGAGACTCTTCATGAACTCTCACTATAAATAAATAATTATTTTTTTACATAGATATAAGATGGTATATAAAATTAAATTATAAAGTTAAAACAATAATTTTTTGAGTTCAAACATTAGTGGAAAGAAAAATACCTTGATCTCTAGCATTATCATCCGTTGTTGCTCCCTTAGTTGAAGTTGAAATGTTTGAGCTGGCCGAGGACAAAGACACTCTCTTCTTTCTATTTGGAACTACAATATTCGAAAAATAAGATATTAATTTACATTAATATATATATATATATATATATATATATATATATATATATATATATATAACTGAAAGAAAGTACCAGTAGTGTTACAGTTCAAAACTTGAGGCAAAGAATGTTCCACCACCATGTCACTAGTTTCAGCCAATGCTTTAGATAATTCCATGTTACGCTTCAAGTTCTTGATGTTCTTAGTTGTCGCCATTGCTCTTGCAAACTCCATTTTACGTTTCAGAGGGATACTCATGAGGTAACTTGATATCTAACAAAATAACATGTTTAAAATCAATCATAAGTATTAAAACAAAGCAAGAGTTAAAAACAACCATAGTTTCTGTATGAGCCTTATCATAGCAATGACCACCAGTTAACTAGAAATGCATAAAATATAGATCATATAAACGACTTACAGCTAAATAACACATACATAAATAAGAGGTAAGAGGCTAAATAACACATACATAAATAAGAGGTAAGAGACTGGTATATATGCATAAAAGTGTATAATGACTAAACAAAACCAAGGGCGTCTCTGAGATCGACAACTGTACAAAATTCAAGACAAAGAAAGCACATAACCATAGACGCACGATACAAAGGAATCGAATTCAAACCGCCAACATAAAATAAGCCCATGAATAACAGCCTCAAAAACCAATGAAGAATCATCAAATGGAGCAAATGAATACGATCAAATTCACCATAAAAATTGTATTATAAAGTCCCATAAAAATTCAGAGCAATTATTATAACAAAAAGCAAAACCAACCAAACTTTAAAATATACAGATATTTGATTGTACAATTGGATTGTTCTAAAAAATAAGAAATCAACAAACCCACTAGTTTATTCAAACCATATACCAGATATTCGTTAGACGTAAGGGTCGAAAGGATTACACCAGGACATGCATAACTGATTCACTACCGACTTACCTGGCTGCCTTGGAGTTCCACGATAATGACGATCCGATTCTTAGCCGTAAGTTACTCACCAACTGCTGAAAACCCACGTAATGATTAGCACAATAGAATGACGAAATACTTGACAAACATAATTGATTGTCGTAATAATAAAAAAAAAACAAATTACTATAATGCTTATTAACCCTCCTTACCCTTCTAAGACAAGTAAAAAATTGCCCGAAGAAAAACAACTTTCTTTCCAAATCAGTATGTGGGTCTTTATGTATAGATTAAGGATGTAAGACACGATTTGATAGTGGATGAAGAGGGAATATGGGTGTGGAGCCGTGGAGCGAGAACTAATTTTTGGCGGTAAACAATTGAGGTAAAGTTTTGGCGGTAAAGAAATACAGCTAATTTTTTTGAGGTAAAATAAGTCGAGAAAATTGATAGGTGTTTTAATTCTGGCAAACTCCATTTTCGGTGATTTGTCGCTGCGTGTATGTTGTAAATAAAAGTGCTCTGTTTTTTTCTCCAAAATAAAAATTGAAAGAGAATGACAGAGACTAAATGAAGATGATGACTAAAACGGCGGATTATTCAATTAGGTTAAATTTGGGGGCTCACTAAAGCCACGTGTGAAGCATATTACATCAAAATGTTGTTATTTTTTTCTTTTTTAATTTCTTTCTTTTATATGTTTCATTGGTTATGAATTATGATTATGATGGGCATATTTGATTGTTTATAATTTGGAAAACACTAAAAATTAAGTTTATTTATTTCTAATGCTTTTATTAATGTTGATTTGTCTCATTCAATTTATAATTTTTTTAATATTAATAGATCTAGAATCATTTATTTGAAATAAATAAATGTGTGCTCTATTAAGATATTAATTACACATATTTATTAGAAGGGAGAGCACGGTAGCATATTAATATACCTAATTACTCTAATTAATAATAGTGTGTCGAAATATGAATTTATTTGAAAGATTAATTAATTAAGAATTTCTTTGTAAATAACCCGAACATTGAAACCCGAAACCCGAAACCCTAAACCCAAAAACCCTAAACCCGACCGAAACTCGAAAACCCGAAACCCGAAAACCCGAAACTCGAAAACCCGAAACCCTAAACCCGAAACCTGAAAACATGGAACCCTAAACCCGAAACCCGAAAACCCAAAATCCAAAACCCGAAATCCAAAACCCGAAACCCATAATAAAATTTATGTAATCAATAAAAGAAAGAAAAAAAAAAGAAAGAAAGAAACTAAAAGATTTATATTATAATTTAGCACCAATAGTCCAACTTTTGTCCACGTGTTTGTCAATCAAAGGCATCCGAATATGTCACTTAAACGAGGGGAATACGATGCTACACCCGGTGATTTTCACCGGGTGGCTATTTTCTTGACATGTGTCTTTTTTTTATTTACTTTATAATTATATTTCTAAAACTTATTGGGCCATAACTGAACCCGTAGTGGGAATCTTATTAATTAGGGTGTCTGGTTATATTCACCAGGTGTAGCATAGAATTTCCCCTTAAACGGAGAGTCCGTTTTTAATTTATTCTCTTATTATAATAGAATAGTTCAAACATAATTCAATATAATAATATGCTAAAATATAGATTTTGGTTTTTTTTTTTTTTTTTGCCAAAAATATTTTATTATTCCATTATTTTAAGAAAGAATAGGGCCTCGTTAAAACCTTGTGAACCAACACAAGGAAAAAGAGTACACCAACAATGGTAATAAAAAATCGGAGAAACCCCTCATTAATCTATTACACAAAAGCCCTACAAAGGAGTAGAAAAGAAATAAACAAAAATAAAAAAACCTAATAAGACTATAGGTTTTGAAATAGCCAAATTGACCCCAGCCTAGGGTGAATGTGCAAATATTTAAAATCCTGGCACCTGCCTCAGTTACATCATTACGTTGCATGTCTTCTTCTTTTTTTGGTAATGAAGGAACACGCAACCAACCATATAGATGCACTGGGTAAACCTACACTCTCATATAATTAATAGCTTCCAAACCATACGAGAGAGGTAAACCACACTTAGCTAACCGTGTGTGACAAGCTCCACCTAGGCAAGGGGATTTGAACTTGGGTCAATTGACAAAGGCTCACATACTCCAACCGCTATGCCTTCCCTTGCGGGGCCGTTGTATGGCATAGGAAAATCTTGTCGGTGATGAAATTCACGATGAGAATTATGTTTGAAGGCTTCTTTAGCAAACGCCTCCAAGGTTTGACCGCCTCAACTCGCCTGAGACCGCTTCAAACTGCCTCACAGCAAAAACCAAGTTTTCAAACCTTTACACAAAAATCGTAAAGGTTTTAGACCGTGACCGCCTCCGCCTCGGAAACCGATTAATCAGCCGCCTCGACCTATTTGTAGAACAATGTTAAAAACCATACACTTTGCGATTCAAGTCATATGATTCGTATCATTTTATACGATTAGGGGTGTAAAACGAGCCGAGCTTGAGGACGAGCTCCAACTCGAGTCCAATTTGATACATTCTCGAGCTCGAGCTCATCGAGTTTTATATTTTGAACTCGAGCTCGAGCTCATCGAGTTTTATATTTTGAGCTCAAGCTCGGGCCCATTTTTGTGTATTTTATTTATTTATTTATATTTTGAATCACTTATTTAATATTATTAAGTTTTTATTGATATAAATTATAATAAGAAATTACTAAAGAAAATAATGAAATGTAATTTACTCCTTAATTATTGATATGATTTTATTATATAAATTTTATATTCATTATGCTTCTAATAAAAATAAAAAAATAAATTAAAATAAAAAAGGCCCGTGATCCCGGTTGCGGGCTTGTGAACAACTAAGAATAAGCTTGGGCTTAGCTCGTTAGAGAGCTCAAGCTCGAAAAACATGGGTTCGAGTTTGAGCTTTTGTCGAGCTGGTTCATCGAGATCACGAGTCTGCTCAACTTATTTACACCCCTAAGTACAATTTAATATCATATTATATTTTGAGAAAAAAGAAGAAGTATAAATATTAGAATATGATTAGAAACAATTAAATATCATAGTTACTCAAACCACCATAATAAAATTCAAATTGCATATCTTTGCATATTGTTCTCTCCGAGATCACGAGCCGACTCACCGAGATCACGACTCCGCTCAACTCATTACACCAATTTAGTATTATATAAAATTTTGAGAAAAAAAGAAGTATAAACACTAGAATATGATTAGAAACAATTAAATATCATAGTTACTCAAACCATCATAATACATTTCAAATTGAACATCTCTGGATATATTTTTTTATCTCCAAGTACAAAGGATAAAATAGAATGACAATATGATATTATTTTAAGAGGGTGTTTGGACTTTGTATTAGGGGTGTGAACGAGCCGAGCTCGCCTCTTTTGGCTGGCTCGAGCTCGAGCTCGAGTCTATTTTATCGAGCTCGTCGAGTTCTTCTTTTTCTGGCTCGAGCTCGAGCTCGTGTTAATTTTGTCGAGCTCGAGCTCGTGTTAATTTTGTCGAGCTCGAGCTCGAGCCCAATCTCTTTTTTTTTTTTTTTAATAAATATTTTTTAATTATTATTTTATTAATAAAAATTATTTTAAAAAAATACAAAATAAAAACTAAATTGTGATTATTATTATTATTATTATTATTATTATTATTATTATTATTATTATTATTATTATTATTATTATTAGCAGCAGAAGATAACTCATAATATTTATTAAGTTTAGCTTTACATTTATTATTATTAATATTAATACATTTATTATGTAATTATAGTAAATAAAATATAGAAAATAGGTGAAGAATACAAATAAAACAAAACAGATCTTTCATATGCCATTAACAACACGGACGCCGTCTCTCTCTGCCCTCCAAAGAAAACTATTTTTCCTGTTAATCTTGCTTCTAAATTTGTTGCCCTTCTTTGTATTTCTCGATCAAGGTATCTCTTGTTATCAATTTCTCATAATATATATAAATTTGTCCTAATGAATTTACTTTTCAATAAGCCCTAGTTCTGCTAAATTTATTTTATCTTTTTTTTTTAATTGAAGGTGTTCTTGTTTTGGGTTGTATGATTCATTGTTTAGAAATCAATTTTGGTGTGATGTTCCACTACTATAACAATTTAGAACCAGTCAAGTCATCCGAGAGTTGTTCTGTTGCTCTACATTGAATTACACATCATAACATTGAGTCTTTTTGTTGCACACTTGCCCATGCGAATTTGTTAGTAGGATTAGATTGTTATTGATATCTAATCCAATATGATTCTTTGATGAGTAAATTTTTTATTTTTTTTCTTTGACCCTGTGTTATTTTTGATTGAATTTGATTAGCTAGGAGTGGAGATTGAAATGCAATTTCATCAATTCATATTCGAATATTTCAAATTTTTAGAAAAAATTCATCCCGAATCTTAAAAGATCCAGTTCCGATTATTCCATCCAACATTTTTTGGAACGGAATTTGGGACACCTTGTATTTTGAATTGTCATTCTATTATGAATCGTGATCCGATTTAAATATCAGGAAATATTACTAAAAGTTATGGGTTTCTTATCTTCCCCAAAATTGCATATTAAATATGTAATTGGTTTTTTACTTGCGAAAAAATTTTTGGACTCTTAGAAAGTGGTAATTTTGATATCTCCGATTTTCGTCCCTAACATTAGGTGTTGCAGAAAATTAAGTTCTCTACGATTTGTTTATTTTTTTTTATTTTTTGAGCTCCACTACGAAAACATTATTGAATGAGAGAGAATGTTCGGTGAAGCAGCATTGTGAATTTGTGATACATGTATATAATGATAACCAGATTACATGTATAACTAAAATATAGTAGATTGGTTTAATTGGTTTAATTAATTATGTAATTGTTACGTAATCTAATATTTTTATCTCTCTTTTCTCTTTCAGTATAAAAGTTTCTAATGGATAAGAGTTGGATCAAGCTAAATGATTTTACTTCAAATGAATACGTTAATGGAGTTAAAAATTTCATGCAATTTGCTGTACAACATGCTGGGGAGAGAAATAATATGCCTTGTCCATGTGGAGATTGTTTAAATCAAAGTTTGCACCCACCATACTTGGTCAAATTGCATTTACTCACTAATGGGATAGATATTTTTTATAATGAATGGGTGCATCACGGTGAAAAGTCCAGTAAAAATGTGGAAGATCATGATGCTCATCGAGATAACGTGGATGAGACATTTGAAGAACAAGAGATGTTAGAGGATTTGAATTTTGGGTTGCATGATTTTGATGATGATGAAGAAGGTCCATTCGACTATTGTGATGATACTCATGCTGGACAACCAACTCTCGTATCAGATGAAGAAGTCGGAAATTTTCAGAAATTGTTGAAAGATACACAACGTAAGTTATATCCTGGTTGCTCCAAATCATTATTATCTTTCCTTGTCAAACTACTTCATATAAAAGTTTTGAACCGAATGACTAATAAATGTTATGACATGATTATTGATTTATTCAAACAATATCTGCCAGAGGGTGATATTATTCCTTCATCATTTTATGAGTCAAGAAAAGTATTGAAAGACATTGGGTTGGGTTACGAGTTTATTCATGCATGTAAAAATGATTGCATTCTCTTCTGGAAAGAACACGAGAGCTTAATTAGTTGTCCAGTATGCAAAGAATCTAGATGGAAAGTAAATGATGGAAAAGGAAAACAAATTCCTCATAAAGTTTTGGGTTATTTTCCTCTAAAGCCAAGATTGCAAAGACTTTATTTATCGAGAAAGACAGCTTCTGATATGCGATGGTATAAAGATGGAAAAATTGACGAGGAAGGTACAATGACCCATCCTTCAGATTCTGAAGCTTGGAAGGACTTAGATAAGCAGTATCCCTGGTTTGCTCAAGATCCCCGAAATGTGCGCCTTGGTCTAGCTACTGACGGATTTAATCCTTTCGGTAATATGAATAACTCTTATAGCATATGGCCTGTGATTTTGGTGCCATACAACCTACCACCTTGGCTATGCATGAAAGAACCGTATTTTATCATGTCCCTATTGATTCCGGGTCCTAAGTCACCTGGAAGAGATATTGATGTATATTTGCGACCATTGATAGATGATCTGAAGGAATTGTGGGAATCTGGAGTAAGAACAAGAGATGCTAAAACTGGAGAGTTATTTGTTCTGCATGCTGCAATTTTATGGACAATTAACGATTTTCCTGCATATGGTGATATTTCTGGACATCGAACAAAGGGATATTGTGCTTGTCCAAGATGTAGTGCCGAAACTCCTTCACAGAGGCTAAGAAGTAAGATTGGTTATATCGGCCACAGACGTTATTTGCCACGTAATCATCCATATCGAAGAAGTCTTAAATTTAATGGTCGGGCAGAACACCGATCAAAACCCGTGGAGCTGACCAATGCTGAAATTCTTATACAACTAGAACAAGTAGAAAATGTTGTGCTTGGAAAGCAGCCCACGGATAAAAAACGAAAGCGCCCGTCGCAACACTTATGCTGGATAAAAAGAAGTATATTATTTGAGTTGCCATATTGGTCTAACCTAAAATTACGGCACAATCTTGATGTAATGCATATCGAGAAGAATATATGTGATAATGTGATGGGAACTATATTAGATATTGATGGTAAAACAAAGGATACTGAGAAGGCTCGTTTAGATTTGGAGGACATGGGTGTAAGAAGTGAGTTACACTTAAAGCCAGTAGAAGGTGCCAAAAAAAATAAAGAAGGTAAGATAAAGTGTTTAAAGCCACGTGCGCTGTATACCTTATCTCGAAAAGAGAAAAAGGAATTTTGTGAGTTCTTGAAAGGTGTAAAGTTTCCGGATGGGTACGCTGCGAATATCTCCAAAGTTTCCGGATGGGTACGCTGCGAATATCTCCAGATGTGTGAATATTAAAGATGGTAAGATAACTGGGTTGAAGAGTCATGATTGTCATGTTCTATTACAACGTTTGCTTCCTGTAGGATTGCGTGGTTACCTACAAAAAGATGTTCTTAATGCTATTACCGAGTTTGCAAGTTTCTTCAGACAGTTATGTTCTAGAAAATTAAGCTTGGATGTCCTTGACAATTTGGAAAAAATAATTCCTGTAATATTAAGCAAGTTAGAAATGATATTTCCACCTGCTTTCTTTGATGTGATGGTCCATCTAGCAATTCATTTGGCACAAGAAGCAAAGATTGGTGGACCTGTTCACTATCGATGGATGTATCCTATTGAAAGGTAACAAATCTAGATGTTTTACTTTTTTTTAGTTTGTTAAAGTTGCATATATTATCTTTTTCATTGTGTCACGTGTCTCATGTACATGTATTTTGATATAACTATAGGTATCTTGGTAGTCTAAAAGGAATGGTTCGAAATAGAGCTCGTCCTGAAGGCTCAATTGCGGAGGCCTATATCGTTAAAGAGTGTTTGACTTTTTGTTCATTGTATCTCCATGACATTGAGACTAAATACAATAGAGATCAAAGAAATTATGATGGGGAGGAACATCCAAATGCAACAATATCTGTTTTTCGAAGTAAAATTCGAACTTTTGGAGAAACAAATTTTGAACAATTGTCCCCTCAACAATATAGTTCCTTGCATTGGTTTGTCTTGAATAACTGCGTGGAGTTAGATTCATATTTGAGGTAAGAAAAATTATTTTAATACTATAATAGCACTTAAACATTATTTGATGGGTTATTTTTTCATTTTTCAGAGAGCATGAAGAAGAACTTAAGCAACAACATCCAATTGGTTGGGAGGCTAGACAAAAGAAAGAGTTTGCTGCATGGTTTGATAATCGAGTAAGATCTCCAAATTATATTTTTATTTTATT